CATGCTGAAACCGCACCCACCCCTACTCTGGCAATGGGAAAAAAGTTGTGATACGTCACGACATGTTGCGTGATGCGGTGAGTGTGACACTCCTGTTCTAGAGCATAGAGGTAGCAGCAAATAAGTCACATTTCTGGAGTCCCATAAGATTTAATCAATTGGACCTGGAGCATGTCCATGTAATCTAATAGGATGGGCAGAAATAATTGGAGGCAAATTGTGTTATAAATTACGAGGCTCCAGGCTATGTAGAAATTCATAGGTAGCAACCAACATCTTAAATTGCACCTAGAACCCAACTGGTAACCAATGCAGTTCATGAAACTGCAAGGCAGACCAAATCAGGAAATTCACTCCACAGGGAGAACAGATCTACACTTAACTGAGATAAACTATAGAAAAAAAGCTCTTCCAACATTTCCTGTTTTCTCTTCTTCATCTTCTAATCCAATTAATTGGGAGAAATCAGTCCGAATCTTTTCCTAGTACTTTCCTGCCTCAAAGATTTAATGCAGGCTTCTTCTGCACCTATTGATTTCGTAACAGCTTCTGCAAACTTCTCCAACATCATTTCCATGGCTTCCTCTGCTAAGACCTGAGTGACTGACAGCAATATTTGGAGGTCATGGATGAGGTGCAATTGGCATCAAAAATAGATTTGGGCAAAAGCCCTCCTGATCAAAGCAGCCACTTGTTCTCCCAGTTGCACACTGGTTTTGTTTGGGGAAATGTGACTATCAATAACTACAAGCAACAAATTTATATTTGTGTATCTCCCAATTTCTTTTTTTTTAATTGGAAGAAACTATTACCTATATGCCTCCAGTGATAGCATTAATTGTATGTGAGTGGCTTAATTCACTATACAAAGTGATCTAAGCCCCCATCTGGAAGTATCCATGTATTCTTAGAAGACACATGTTCTAGCATGCAATTATGGAAAGCAGAAATCCTATTAAAAGCCTGGGTGCTTATTTATTTATTACACTTGTCTACTTACTATTTCATAGATTCAAGTTGGATTACAACAGTTGAACAACAAAATCCATAAAATTAATCCACCCTATAAGCCAGCTATAACTAAAAAATAAAACAAAAATGGCTGCTCAACTACCTTTTACTCACACAGCGCAAACCTAAATAGAATAATTTTTACAGACTTCTAAAAGATCAATACAGCGGGAGATGCTTTATCTTAGGAAATAGGGTATCACAAATCATTGGGGTAGCAATAGGAAAGTTCTGTCTTCGGATTCTCTACAGTTTTTACTTATCATAAGGTTAAGGTAGCTAAAATCTGTTTGAGAAGACGGTTCCACAGGGTTGTTTTGTTTTTTTTTAGGTTAGAACCAATAGTTTGAATGAGTCTTACAAATTTATTGGCAAACACTGTGGTGACCATAATTCTAGCATTAGACTGCTAAAAGGGTTCACACCTCTTAACAACTGTGTGGTTATATTTTGGACCAAATGTAGTTTCTAGGTTAACTTCAAAGACAGTCCCAAATAGAGTATGAGTTACATTACTCTAAATGTACAGTAGTGAAAAAAAATGAGCTACTGTTGCCAGTATATCCTGATTCAGAAAAGATAATAATTGATGCATCAGCAAAAACTGCACTACTGTTAATAATCTAGTTGCCATGGTTTCACTTGCTTCTTAAACATAAGATGAGACTTCAGAACAACTCCATAATCATGGACCTGCTCATTCAGGTGAAATACAACCCCACCTAGAACACTAGAATTGAAGAGTTCAAAAGGATACCTTTTAGTATTGAATACAGATGAGGGATTAACAAAATTAAGAATGTCTCACCCTCTCCATTCAGATTAAGCAACTAATGCAAATTTGATTTCATGACCAGGTCTGAATCCTGAATGGAAAGGACCTAGGTTATTCATTTCATCTAGGATGTTGCCTAAATCGGCTATATCGAATGATGGCTTTTCCAACAGAATTGCATCATCACTTCTTTCAAGATGAATGGTACCCCTCTATCTTTCAAAGAGCCAGCGATCACTCCAAATGACACATGAAACCTATCCACAGAATAGACAGAACTCAAAGAGCAAAAACCTGTCCTTTTGACTCTACAATTAGGCAAAAACTAAATGATCCCAGGTAATGTGAACATCACAACTGAAGTCTGCACTTCATTTTTTCATCCCTTTTTCAAATCATCATATTGTATGTGGTTAATAGGCATATGTGTTGCAACAACCTAAGATAATTTAATTTTATAACTATTAAATTTAAATTTTAATTGTTAAAATTAAATAATTTACAGGCATCATATAATGTCTAAAAAGATAATTCAAGCAGATGGTTGTTTGTCTGTTCTTCCAGGGTCTTCTTTTCATAGTTATCTAATGCCTCATTAGAATGTATTCATGAAATAATAGCCAGGAAAAATACTTGTTTCCACTGTTACATTGCTAAACAGCCAATAGCTACCAAGTAACACATTATTAAATAAAACACGTTAAAAGCTGCTCTTTTAGAGATAGTTTAATTTTCACAATCAGTATGTTTAGGGATGTAATTAATGTAATTCTCTTTCAACAAATTTATATTTCTGTTGCATGGAAATAATAACAATTTTTTTATCCATATTCAAGTTTAGAAATTTAGTGTTAGGGTAGAAATATATGGCAACCTTCAATATTTTTTTAAAAAAATCCAAAGCATTTTAATGTTTTAAAGGACATTTAGCAAAGCAGAAAGTTCAATCTATCTGAATATTCCTCCATTTAATTATTTCATTTAAAAATAAGGCCAATATCGATGCTCAAATTTTGACATTTCCTGTGGGATGAAGTTTACATTTATGGAACAACTTTAATGTTCTGCATAAATTATACTGGAAATTGCCTGACATTTCTTGCTTACTATCTTTTTTTCTTTTTCTTTTTGAAAAGGAATATCCCTCTGGTGCAACAGAAAGCTCGTTAAGAAATATTTCTTGTATACACACCATTTAGCATATATTGAGTCAGATATCAAAATTGTAATAATTTTTTTATTAAATATCTCTTGGCTAGATATTTGTATATGCTGGAAACATTTAAAATGTAAAGGCTAGGGTACTTCTTTACAACACTAAAATAGTAGAAAAAGAAACATCTATTGTGGTAGAGGAAAACAAACAAACTAACATTATGGAGATCAAGGTTGGGCAATGTATAGGTTACAAGGAGTGTTTGGAGATAAAGAATAAATAAAAAAAGAAGTCCAGAGTCCCTTTCTCTGTATAGTCTGAATGTTTCAATTATCAAAAATGAGCAAGATCATTTCCTATATTTAACATAGTTATGAAATGTGTGCTTCCATACCTAACACACAATAGAAAATGTGCTCAAGATTCTGGCCTTGCCATCCTGCAGAATCATTGTCTGAATGGGAAGGGGGAGTTAATTGGTGTTCCAGTATGAAATCACTCCAGGGAGGAAACATCATAGTCCAGACTAGGAAAACCTTTTCTGCTTCAAGGGAATGCCAGCAATCTGATGAGATTCTAGTAATATAGGTGATGAACAATGAGACAACTACTTTAGCCTATTCACAAAGTGTTCTGGTTCCTTGTGCCTGACATTCAAGTGGTGTCACTACTGCATTGCTTTAACTTTTGTAGATTTAGACTATTTTAAGAAAAAGTAGGTCTTCCCCAATCAAAAAAGACAACTCAGGTGGTGGTCCTCTCCTGTGCACATACCAACAGGTTTCTGAAAGAGCTTCTCCTCTAACACTTCTCTGTAAACTGGGCAAGCTCTTATTCATGGTCCCTCAGTATTCAATTACTATGATATTTAGGATTTTTAACATTAATACCAATACCTTTAATTGCATACAGTAAGCTAATAGGAACAACAGTACTGCACATACTTCAGACAGGGAATCATGCGCTCTCAATGTCTTGCACTAGTCAACACATTTGGCATCAGATATATGTTCCATACCAGAATATATTCATATATATAAGCCTATATAAAATTTACTGCTGTAGCTAAGATGGGATGAAACCAAGGTACAGACAACTGTTGCCAATCTGACTAGTTTAGAAAGAGCAGTGCCAAATACACAAGTGTAGTTATGTGAAACTGCTCCTTTCCACAATCATAAGTTGAAAACCCAGTGACAGCTGAAGATCAAAGATAGTTCCCAGACTATAGACCTGTTCTTGTGGAGTGAGTGTAGTTTCATTGAAAACTGGCCTCAAAACATGATTTCTATTCATATTTGGATTTCACGTCAACTCATTTCTGAAATAAGATAATGTGGAAGAGTACAGTTTTCTGTCACTGTATCAACATACCAATAGCAGTCTACTCCAAAACTCTGAATGACATTTGCCTTTGGCTTCATATAAATATTAAACATAAATGATGGAATCCTAAGACATGGCCTAGATGTTGAACAGGAGGCCACAGCATCAATTTCTGGACACAGATTAAAAGAAAGGCATACAATCAGAATCATTCCAGCCAATTCAAGAGGACACTATGTCAATGTTTTAGAATATTACTGATAGGTTCAGGAGAATCAGCAAGCCACATTTCCCCTATTTAGTTTCTGGCCTAGCTCATTCACAAAGACAACCAAAGCATCTCAGTTGAAAGCACGATTAAAATGAGTTTATATAATCAACATCATCCAGATGCATCGAGAATGGCAAGACTACCAAAGGAGCATTACTTATGTGTGGAAATGGATTTATTTTGTCATCAGATGATTGTCAGATAAATCCAAACTGCTGAACATTTTCAGAATTTACTTCTTTCCACTGTGAGAAAAGTCAGCTTATACATTTATTTCCTTGTCATCAGAAGAAGTCTGCCTGTTTCACCGCCTATGTAGTTTTTTTAAATTAAACTGAAATTTGTTCTAGACCATGTACCCATTTACAAAGAATTTTAGCAAGGATGCAAGAAATCTGTTTTTCTCATATTTGTAAATATTCCCAAATGTTCATATGCACCTAACAATGCAATCTACTTACAGTTATGGCAGGTTGTTCCAGTGTAACCAGTTTCATTACAATCACAGAAAAATGTCTTCCAAGATTGGGAACATTTTCCTCCATGTTCACAGTAGTTTGGTAAACATCTAATTGGGAAGACACCAATAAAACAGGCAACATTATTTTAAGCAGAATACCGATGGGGGGAAACAAATAACTTTTTTTTTTTTGTTCTCCAAACTTCTGTATTTGGCATAGAAATGGGGAAAAAAATCATCTCAACTCTGTTCTTGGCTTAAAACAAATAATTTCAGAAAAACAGTTTGCAGGGAACAGATATAATATAGAAGCGAGCCCAAACTGATACTAAAATACAGGGCAAAGTTTTGAGAGTGGAGCCTCTTTTCTTCAAGCAATAATAATGCATATTTTAATCCATTTTCACCTGGAATGGATACCAGGTGAAAAATAGCACACAACCTTTTAACAAGACTTTTCTGTTTAATATTACATTTTTCAATTCAACTCTCAATTTCAGTTGATCATACAAGTATCTAGCTATATTTATTTGCTCTGGACAAACACATATGGTCTATGAGTAAAATGACAATATTTTTTTTAAAAGAATCATATTATGAATAGAGTGCTGCCTCATTCTTTAGTCTTCTTTATATTTTCACAAGAAAAGCATAGAAACAGGATGAGCAAAGGGTAGGAAGATATCAAAACACTGGTTAGTTAGCCTAAGCACTGGGTAAAAAGTTTACAAAGAGCTCAATTCAGCTATATGAGCATGGTCACAGATTCTACTATCTGCATTTAGTTATACTGCTCAAGCTTAAAACTGGACTTTTCTAGCCAATTTAAACCTAATAATAAATGTTCCTGAAATATAAGTTGAGATAATTTTGTTTTCAATTATTTTCTGGTAAGAATTTGAAACACAAAGGGAACCTATCCATAACCAGTTTCATGAGGCAATAAAAAGTATATTATTTAAGTGTGCTCTGTCTACATAGCCAGTCCCTACTCTGGCTTAAAATGCGGGTAAAAAATGAGAGGAGTGTACAATACTTTAACATTCATAACTGATCTAATCGCTCCCTATAATGTAGCCAAGACTGTGGAAGGAAGGAAGTCTTGACAATTGCCTTCTATCAGTACCTTTCTAGTTTACTTTAGAGAGGTCGGGTCTACGATGTGGTGCCAATATTACTGAAGGAGCTAAACTAGTTCCAAACTACTTTCAATAGCAACTGTGGTGCTGTTATTGCTAGAGCAAACAGATGTCTTCCAGCTCTAGCAACTTTTCATAATCTGCTCTACCACTTACAAAGCTCCTGGCCTACTACTTTCTAGTAGTAGTGATATAGAGAGGTTGTTTCTCTAGCAGCCTTGATTTTAGTAGATAAAGTAGATCAGAATTTATCTAAGGCTTTAGAAATATCCTGGTTTATGGCTTTTTCTGGCAATATTGGTCCTGCTGCTCTTCTCCTGGCGTCAGGCCAGAAAGCAGCAAAAACTGAAATAACCTTGAAGCAAAGTTGGCAGCAACTGGAGAAGAGAGGATACACCCCCAGAAGCTGAAAACAGCCAATAGGAACTGCTGCATTATCACATGGTCACAGCCAAAGCAACCACATATCATGAAAAGAGCAAGGCGTGTATTGAGTGATTTAAACAAACAAACAAACACATCAGACCTGGGCAATTAACCTTTGTTGTAGGTAGGAGATAGGAGAAAGCTATACTGTATGGAAGTGTCTTTCAAGGATGGTTAGACAGATATGCTCAAACCAAGTTAGGGTAAAGTTTAGATATGCTTTTCAGGGTTTTTTTTTTAAAATGCATTTGAGGGATATAGTGAGGTTATTTTTCATGCCTTCCTTTGCCCAGGCCTCAGTTGCCTTTTATCTTTCTTTAACTGCCTCTTCATAATTTTCTGTATAATCATAGAGACAACTTGTTAGATTTGTCCAGTACACCTCAGTGAAATTTTAGGTTACCTTTTAATAAGAAAGTAGCTGTTAAAATATAGTCACCAATGTCTTTTGCATCAATTTGTATGAATTATGTAGTCTTAGCTTTTATCCTGAGTATGGACTAATTAGCCTTAAGCCAAGTCAATGCTAAAGGAACAAATTAGGAACAATCATTGTTAGTATGGTAAAACCAGTGTTCCTGAATTATATTGTCAAATAATAGACTCTGCAAGTCCTCCATTAAACCCTAACCCTGAGAACTTATTAAATCTGTACAGTACACTTCAGTGAAATTTTAAGTTAAAACAGTTACCAATCTCTTTGGCAGCCCTTTGCTTTCTCCAATTACTTTCAAATTTGAGGGTAATAAAGCTCAATTTTGTTATTTTTGAAGGGATGTTAAGACCTCACTTACACTTCAAGTTGCAAAAAAAACCCTTTTACTCTAAGCCATACAATTGTGCAAAGCTTCAGCTTAGATGTGCTCTTTATTGCTTTATGACAATTTTTTGGTAATGGATTTTCTGCAGCAATCTGCTTTTTCTTTTTCCTATCTATAATGCTGGTTAAGGACCATAATAAAGAAGCACTACTAATAGGAACATGACTGATAGTCATAAATTTCATTATATATAGGACAAAAAATGGAAGGTGGGAAAAAGCAACCACAATAACACAGTCCATTCCTATTTCTGGATCTCACCTCTTCCCATTTTACACCCATTTCTCATAAAAAAGTTGTGAGACTCAAGAACAATGGGCCAGATGAAACAGTGCCTGGTGCTACAGCGTGTTCTTGAAGTGAAAGCTTTAAATGATGTGGTAGAATGTAACTTAGAGTGATAGGAGGGAAGAACTCTTTCCCAGAAGGAAAAGAGACAGCAGAGCTTAGAATGTCTGGAAGGCAGGAATAGGGTGAAGGTGGACCTCCCTAGCAATTCAGAGAGTATAATTAATAGTTATGCAGATAGTTGCTTTAGACTGACAAGTGCAGGAAAAGGAGTGGAAGAACTTGGGAGTGGAATTAAAACAAGGACAAATTTATAATCCCTAAACATGTGGTCCAACCCCCTTGAATTATATTGATCCTTAACTAGCTCTAAACAGGTGCTGATCAAGAGTTGAAAAGATTCCTGCACATAGGTTTTTTAGCAATAAAGCAATCCAATTGGACATTCACATGCGGACCTGGTCTTTTGTGTCTGACCGCATGATTCTATTTGTAGGCAACCAACAATAAAGAACTACTCAGAAGTAACTTCACATATTGTTCTTGGTTCTTTAAGCCTGACAAATGTGCAGTTGCCTCTTCAATCTAAAGTGGACTTCTATTCATGTCTGCTAATTATGGCCCACTATTACATGATATGTCTGACCTACTGTACTTCCTATTCATATTTACATGAGATTTGGCCCTAAGGGGTAGATCCAAGCACACGTGAAGATGCAATGACTATGGCCAGCATGCACCATGCCACCCTATTGCTTTTCAATGCATTGAGAAGAACAACTGCCTGAATTCCAAACAACAGAAATTTAATCTGTCTCCCAATGTGCAAAAGGAGGAGGTCTCTCCAATGAACCATTTGAGTAAAACATGAAAGGCTGGGGGGGGGGTGGTATCTGAAGCCACCCACAGACTTCACACAATTAGGACTCAGATAACATCCCACATATATTGCCTGCTACCTTCTAAATATGCAATAACTTAGAGTTCTGCCCAAAATGATATAATTACTATGTAAATTGTTGTGTGTGAAATATTATTTTTTCCTTCTAATCCTTTTAGGTTCCATTTAGAGCAAAGACTATCCCAAAGCAGGATTCACATATAAAATATTTTTTTTTACAAAAAAGAATAATAAAATATTAATGAAACCAATAATGGCTAAAACCAGAAGTTAAAAACACTTATTCCCAATACAAAAATCAGACCCAATTTCAGAGGAACAAAATGGACATGTGAGCAATTAAAAAACCAATTCAAAATAAGGCTTCAATGAATAAATAAATAGTCCTGTAGGGTTTTCTTTAAAGTTGGCTATGTATGAAGAAAACAAAAATACTGGCAAAGAAGTATTATTTCAAATGTACTTTCTCTTGAATTTTCCACTCTTGAACATCTGTTGTAAAAGTATAAAATACAGAGTAGATGCTGCCTGCTATTTATTCGCTTTGCCTTGCTTTGTTTTAGTTATGGGATCCAGCTGGATGTCTATGGAGATTCTCAATCATCCAGGTCATGCTTATCCTAAAGGTGTTTTATTCAAAAGGCAACTAGACTTTGTTTCTCCTTGAAGACAGACATTTTGCTTCTCATCCAAGAAGCTTCATCAGAACTAAGAAGCTCCTTGGATGAGAAGTGAAATGTCTGTCTTCAAGGAGAAACAATGTCTAGTTGCCTTTTGAATAAAACACCTTTGGGATTCAGCTGGATTTTATGACAGCTTGGAAGATTTTAGTCATTTGGTTAACACCCTGCTTAGTACCTAGAATATTATTAAACTTAGACAGTGTCCTATCTCTAATTAAGACAGTCAATTGGCCATTTCAACAAGTTCCCTCATCTTTACTATCCATTCCTCCATTGTGAGTAGAGTCAGATCTTTTCATCTTTGTGTGAAAAGGTTCACTGTTCTCGTTGCAGTAAACATACATAAAAACAAAGCTCCATTTTCCCCCCAGCTGCTTTTTCATCAATCTCAAAAAAGTCTCTGGTTTCTGGCTTCAAAAGATTGCTTATGAATCTTTAAAGCCTTTTTTTAATGTAATTGAGTTCAAAAATTAATATACATCCACCAAGCATGATAAAATGTCCTTCTTATTAGTGCCCTTTCCTGCTTCCTAGGGTTGTGTAAGAATGACTGGCCCAAGGTCACTCAGCTGGCTTCTTGACTAAGGTAGTACTAGAACTCACAGTCTCCCAGTTTCTAGGCCAGCACACTTAACACTACATCAAACTGGTTCATTCCATCATATACCTAATAATAAATTAATTTGTATCAAAACCAAAGCCTGCAGAGTTAAGTGGCCTGGTATTTCCATTAGTTTTGGAAAAGCCTCTTAAAACTCCATAAGCACAAGGGAAAAAATATAGGCACTTTGTGGAATTTGCCTTCAAGGTGCTCTGAAGATATAATTTGAAAACATGTTAGTTTTCAGTG